AGCGTTTAGGGCTTAGGGTAGGGTTTAGGGTTTAGGGTTTAGGGTTTAGGGTTTAGGGTTTAGGGTTTAGGGTTTAGGGTCTAAAGGGTTTAGGGTCCCGGCCCTTTCAACAAAATTCAAAAGTTAAGTCGAAGAACCCAAGCCCCGCGGGCCCTAACCAACCACGCTCAGTGTAACATGCTGAAGACCGGTCCATGCAGCTAGAAACCCTCAACCGAAAAGCCCTAAACCCAAAAGCCCTACACCTGCCACCATAAATCCTAAAGTTCTAAAGCCCTAAACTTCAAACCCTACCAACAAAAAGAATCACAAGACAGCCAAGGCGCCTGTTCGAGTTCTCCCGGTTCAGCTGGCGATAGATTCCTGATACTTGCCAATACGCATGGGGGAAAAAGTCCCAACTTTCAGGCCAGGACTACCTTATAAGAGGCCCCGTAGTTGAAAAGTTGAGGTTCTAACCACTAAGATTCTGACGAAAAACGATCTAGAGTGAATAATGACTTATACGGCCTCCTCTGTATGGTAACTTAAACAAAATTCCTCAAGAACCGAGATTCTGCCTGCCTTTGACTCTACCATGATATCCGAGTCAGATCGGCACAGGAACCAAGGCGCCTCGGATTTCAAAGAGTTTATAGCTTGAGAGGCGTAAGGCTTATGGGTCAGGATGTAGGGTTTAAGGTCTAAGGGTTTCTTTCTTTCGCGGCTTAAGGTTTATGGGCGAGGGCTTAGGGCTTATGGGTTTCACGGATATCTTTAAGGGTTTAAGGTTTATGGGTTAGGGCTTAGGGTTGAGAGTTGATGGGTTCAAGGATTTCTTTGAGGGTTTAAGGTTTATGGGTTAGGGCTTAGGGTTGAGGGTTTATGGGCTTCAAGGGTTTAAAGGTTGAGGGTGATTTAGGGCCCCTGGACCCCGAACTGTACGTTTGGGACAGCCCGGGCTCATGAGCCAGCAGAGAATTTTAGCAGACAAGCTGTCGCATGGCAGTCGGTGCGTTCGGATTGATGTTGCTGGGAGTTACTTGGGTGTTGAGCGCACCACGCCCGTGATCCGTAAACCCTATGCACCCCAAACTCTCCCCAATGCAAGGTGCCATCCAAGCAAGCCAACTTGGGAGGACGTGCTTCTCCACATGAAAGGCCAAGAAGAGGATGGCCATGGTTTCCAGCAAGCTTGCGCAGCAAAACACCGTACCTCAGGTTTAGGGTTAGGGTTTAGGGTTTAGGGTTTGTTACCGGAGGCTTTCGGCCTCGTGTGACAGACAGTGTGTTGCGAGGGTTTAACCCTAAACCCTGAACCCTAAACCTTAAACCGTTAAGGCTTTGGGGAGTAGCCTCTTGAAGAGTGGATTCCCCCTTCGCCTACTGCTCAACTTCAAGCGAAGACAGGGTGCGGCTCGGGAACCTTAATATAGGGGCCTCAATAATTACCAGTACTATTTGGCGGGGGGGGGGTCCTTACTTTTATTGTAGTATAACATACCCCAAAACCCCGTTCAAATGATTAACTTATTAACCCCGAAACCCGAAGCCCTAAACCCTAAACGCCAAACCCTAAGGCCTAAGCCCCAAGCCCAAGTCTAGGTACTAACCAGCATGAAGAGGTCGATCCAAAGCAGCTCGCCGCAGACTGGCACGAAGGAGGCCGCCGTCGTTTTCCTTAGCAGTTTAGGGTTGAGTGTCATATTCATATGAATCCCCTTTAGGGTTTAGGGTTTAAGGGTTTAGGGTTTAAGGGTTTATAGAAATGTTAAGGCTTTGGTTGCTAAAAACATTCTGACCGAAACGTTTTGACCGAAAGTTTTTTGACTGCTTTTATGCTTCGGGGGTAGGGTCGGCCGGGCTGGCTGGGGCCCCGAGCCCGGCTGACAGGCCGGGTTGAGGGCTGGGCTACCCTAGGGTTTAGGGTTTAGGGTTTAGGCTTGGGCTGGGCTGGGCTGGGCTGGGCTGGGCTGGGCTGGGCTGGGCTGGGCTGTGGGCTGGGCTGTGGGGCTCGGCTGGGCTTGGCGGGTGGCATCGTGGGTTTGAAACGGAAATTGGTGTCTTAGAAAATGGAAAGGTTGTGTCCTGACCGGAAAAATAGAGTTTCCCGCTGGCTAAGAGCAACAAGCAGTTTCTATTTATATCTTTCTTGAGGGTTTAGGGTTTAGGGGTGTAGGGTCCAAGAGCAGAAAAGTTTCATCACCTCGATCACCAATACCAGTGTGATGCCGAAGGAGAGCCGCTCTCCCACCTGACATGCCGGCTGTTCAAGCACGGGTATCACGCCTTCATCGTGTGCTATGTTCGGGAGGGTTTAGGTATCTGAAGACAAAAGCAATGCTGATGTGCTGAGCTTTCGGACCTCGTGGGACATGAAGAACACGCCGAAGGAGAGGTAGGTAAGCATAAGGGTTGGCAGAATGATCAGCAATGTGTAGTAAAAAGATGCACGGCCAAGTTTCACCGTATACTTCACCAGTGTCCAAGGTTCGCTGGGAAATGTGTCGTAGAAATTGGTTTTCAAGTCGACACTGACCTCAGCAATACTGTACTCCTGGTATGAAGACCCGGCAGTGTCCTGGGCTGCTCTTGGCTTCGGACTCAGGGTTTAGGGCTAAGGCTCAAAATAAGTTAACATCCTAACCATCATTCCTGAGCAATGCTACACAATACCTATGAAGACAAATTCAAACATTCTAACCGACCCTTGACACTTATCATTCTCAGATTACATTTTCCATAGTCTGGCCCGATGTTCAAGAAAAGCTAAATCCTAAGCAAGAAACTATTTGGAATATGACCTACGATACTACAGACAAAACAACTGTCAATAATATCCCCATGCCAGTCCTAAACCCTAAATCCTTAAGCCCCAAACCCTAAAACCCCAAACCCCCAACCCGCTAAACCAAGAGCCCTGTACACAAAAAACAAAAATCCTAAACCATAAACCTAAAACCCTAAATCCTAAACCCTGAACCTAAAACCCTAAATCCTAAACCCTAACAAAAAAACACCGCCAAGTGTCTTCTTGAGTGGATTCCGAATACCCTGCTCCCCGGAGCAGAATCCCCTGAAATCCGCCGGACCAACTCCAGCCCCCCCACTCCTTGGTTCCCGGAATGGGGTTCTTGTCAAGGGATTTGTAAGGGTTCTATGAAGGATCTATAAGGGCCCTTTGAGGGTTCTATACGGCTTTAGGTTTTGGTGGGTTTTGGGTTTGGAGGTTTAGGGTTTGGGGCTTAAGGATTTAAGATTTTAAGGTTTACGGGTCTAGGGTTCCGATATGTTCCGATTCTTATTAACCAAACTACGGAAACTGCTTTTTCAAAGCAACGAAATAGGATTCATACCAGGTGCTCACTCTGTCACGTGCAACTTACCCACCTCCTGGAAGCTTCATCTAAATCTTAGAGCCTCAACCCCAAACCCTATAAACCCTAAGACCTAAGTATCACTATACCTTAAACCCTAAGACCTAAGTATCCCTAAACCCTAAACCCTAAGACTCTTTCGAAAGAGCCCAGAGTCCATGGAACAGGAGAGGCTGTCGAAGGGAAAGGCGACCAGCCCACTGAACTTGCCTAGGTTGGCCCTTGTGCTTAGCGGTCTAGGGTTTGGGGTTCGGGGTGAAGGGTTTCAATGTTGAGGGCTTTAGGGTTTATAGGGCTTGGGGTTTTAGGGCTTATAGCGTGTGAGATGCCCTTAAGCCCAATATAAAGGAAAACGTAAACACATGCCAAAGGCTTGGCGAGTTGCAGAGCGTGTCCAGTATCCCAGGGCGGCTCCAAAAAATCGAGCCTTCGGGTCTCGACGTCCTAAACCCTAAACCCTAAAATCCCAAACCCTAAATCCTAAACCCTAAAGCCCCAAAGCCTAAACCCTAAACCCTGAAACCCTAAACCGCCAAACCCTAAACCCTAAACCCCAAACCCTAAACCGTGTATCTATGGCTCCTAACCCCAAACCCTAAACCCCAAACCCTAAATCCTAAACCGTGGATTTATGGGTCCTATCACGGTTCTACTTCGTGTTTCGGGTTTCAGGGTGTAGGGGTTGGGGGTGAAGGTTTAGGGCTCTTGGAAGGGGTTCTTTGGGGTCATTTAAAGGGCTCCTACAAGGCTTAGGGTTTAGGGGTTTCGTCTAAACCGAAACCCTAAACCCTAAATCCCAAACCCCAAGGGTTTAGATACTTTTCGCCCCCCGGGAACCGTCCGAGTATGCCGTGGCCAGCGAGTTGTCCAGGGTGGCTGCATTGCCAACGTTGGCATTGTAGAGCTGTACCTACAAGCCGCTTGGACCCTCAATCAAGGAGAAGGCTTTTACAGGGTTTAGGAATTAGTATAGGGTTTAGAGTTTAGGGTGTAGGGTAATTATGAGGCTTCTATATTAGGCGGGCTCCGGGGTTCAGGGTTGTTACACGTTGGTTTCAGGCAACTTCGGTGTTCCATGGTACTTGTTGGTGGACGGGTGGTCATTTTGTGCAGGCTTCAGCGGCAAGTGTGTGGGGTTTAAGGTAAACCCCAAAACGAAGGACACCGGATTAAGGACAAATAGTGCAGGAACTAAATATACATTGCTTTTAAGAACTGTTGGGCTTCTAAACTGTACCCAAAGTGTCCTAAGTACTGTTATGGGGGAAACCTTCCCAGATCCTCATATTAATTACAATGTAGAAACCCTACATACTACTATGTAGGTACTTTGGGCCCTTTGGGTTAAACAGGGTTTAGTATACCAGTTTTCAAGAACCCCTGACCTTTTAATAGAGTCGAAAGCCTAAAACTTTCAAAAGGAACACCCAGGGACATCTGGTGTCCAGATTTCTGTCCCCTGTGTAGGCGGCAGACTACGGAAGTTGATCTGTGTAATGTTGCCGTAGGCAGCCGGGTCCCAGCTGAGCCGCAAGTCCGTCCAAGCCAGCCGCACCCAGACCTTCAGGCGCATCTGCCCGCGCGAGGAATCCACGCCCTCGACCTTGAACATGCGAATCTCCATAGCGACATCGGTCCCCGCCTTGCTGTAGTTCACGTCACGCCGGCTGCGTGGAGGCACGGCGGAGTCGTAGCGGCGGAGAAGATCTTCCCTCAGCGTCGTGGCATACTCTGCATACTCCTCACGAAAGGTACCATCTTCCTGACCCGAAGACAGCGAAAACAGAGTCGCAAGAGATGCCAGCAGAAGGCTCAGGTTCATCATTGACCCGAAGACCTGTTAAAGTCCCATGGCGTCCAGAAGACACCGAATGACCAGCTCGCAGCTTGCTCGAGCCCCATGTGATGATGGGCAAGAAGAGTGAGATCAAACAAACAGCTCAGCAAGTAGGATTCAGCATCGACCGGTGTACTCAGTGGTCCTACGACTGTTGTTGTCACGGTCACCTTTCTTGGCATGATTGTTTGTCGTTGTGACTACCATGAACACCAAAGCTTATGCGTGTATGTATACACGTCTGTGTGTAAGCTACTCTCTGTCTCCATCTCTCTCTCTCTCTCTCGCTCTCTCTGTTCGGTACATATGTGACGAACGGTTAGCCGATGATAATGATGATGATGATGCTGAGGGTGATGCTGGTGATGATGAGTCGTTGTGATGGCTCCTGTGGCTGCCATCACATGGTTGCCCTGACTTCCCACACTCCAAAACTACGGCCTTTCTGTCTCCGTGCTTACCATACAAGGCTATTTCCTTGACAGATTACTGCTACCGCCACCCCCGTCGCTACTGCTGCTGCTACTCCTATTCCTACTCCTACTCCCATTCCCACTCCCACTCCTAACTCTACTCCTACTCTACTCCTACTCCTACTCCTACTCCTACTCCAAGTCCTAGTCCTACTCCTAGTCCTACTCCTAGTCCTAGTCCTACTCCTAGTCCTACTCCTAGTCCTAGTCCTAGTCCTAGTCCTAGTCCTACTCCTACTCCTAGTCCTA